CTACAGCAGCAGCAGACGATGCTACAGCAGCAGCAGAGATCTACAGCGAGCAGACGATGCTACAGCAGCAGCAGACGATGCTACAGCAGCAGCAGACGATGCTACAGCAGCAGCAGACGATGCTAACAGCACAGCAGACGATGCTACAGCAGCAGCAGACGATGCTACAGCAGCAGCACAGCAGCTGACAGTGCAGCAGCAGCAGCAGCAGCAGCAGCAGCAGCAGCTGTACCACCAATAGTAGCGATGGTTGATTGGGGTTTATTATACAACCTGGCCAGCTCGGAGACACGCACTCCACTTTCATACTTATCAATGAATTCTTTTTCTTCATCTCTATTGTAATTCTCACCCTTATTGCTGTAGGGTGGCACTAGAAGCTTTCTTGGGGCCCATGGTCACTTATTTTCCAGAAAAAGCACCGAAAACACTGTAATACGAAATATTCCGATTGTGTGCTTGGATGTTACCGCGGAGGCTGGCTGGTAAACAATGCCACCGGCGGAACATGTGAGCGTGGCTCAGGCCGCACATTGGACGCGTCTCGGACGAAAATCGGTGAGCGGGTTTTTAAGCGGTATGTGAGGCAAAATTTTTGCGATTAAAGCAAGCGGTATGCGGATTAATCGCTATGTGATGCCATCGGTATGCGGGGGTCCACTGTACTCCAGAATAAATAATATTTGGCATAATACCGAGCAGTTCGACAGAGGTATGAAGAGGATATATGGTATACAAATACCATTCTCCTATCCCTGTCTTGGTGGCTTATATTAGAGAAAACAGTGTAGCACAGGGCTAACTGTGATATACACTCGTACTGCACCGTAAACCTGAAACAAAAAAGTTATTTCTCTATATAGATTATCTCACACAGCAGCATATGTGTAGAGAACCTAGGATAACCCAAAAAAGTCAACGTGGCTTATTTCTTGTACCTGGCGTGGGTTAGCCATATATGATTTTTGGTAAATATTCAATTCCCAGCCAGGGTAGAAACAGGCGTGTTTCTTTACACCTGTTGTCTATGTTTACCCATCAGTAAATGGGTACCTGGGTGTTAGTCGACTAGTGTGGGTGTTATCCTGGACACTGACCTAATTTCTTGAAATACTCTGCATAACAAGTGGCTTTCTATACAGTAGCATGTCACTGATGTCAGCTAGGCCTGTATACCTTGTACATGTACATGTAGTAAATAATTATTATTATTATATATTATATTATTTTCTCAGTTTGTTGGGTTATGTTATTCAAACTTGGGCAATGTATGATGGAAAGATACTTCTTAACGTACACCAAAAATGAAAGAAATCAGACCATAAATACGGAGTTCACTTCTCAGGCCATTAGCGCCGTTAGCGGTATATTTTTGTATGTTTTTATGGTTATATTCTCATTTATTCGGTCTCATTTGATAGAATGACAGATACATTACAGAAATAGATATGATTTTGATTGCTTTCATGACGAAAAAGTACGTGAAATTGCGCACACAAAGCAAAATGTTCTGTACTTTAGCAAAACTCAAGAGAAAACAAACTGACGTGCACCGTCCCAATACCTGTCTGCCTGCCATTCAAGTTCCAATACGTATCTGGGTGACATTATTTATTACAATATTACAATAATGCAGTATCCGCAAACGATAAATATTCTATTTTTTTTTTTTTTGTGAGAATAAAAAATTCCAAATGGTAAGCAAGAGACAATATGAGGGGCCTGGAGCCATGACTAATGAACAGAGAAAATATTACTTTAGTGCCAGGAATGTCCCAGCATTGTTCATTCTGGACCCTATTTTGAAATTGTCATCTGTTGTGAAACTTGTGTTGAAATCGGCCAGACTGCCAATTTCTGACCACTTTATTGGGTAGTTTGAAATATGTGAATGCGTTTCTTGTACTCGGTTGACAGACTAAAGTAAAAAAAGTTTATTCCAGGTATACACAAATAGTGGTACATACATTATCATACATAGCAGTGCATGTATAGAGAACCTAGGATAACCCAGAAAATCCAGTGACTTATTTCCAGTACCTATGGCTTTGCCTTCCATGTATGATTTTTGGTAATATTTTTTTTCTCGGTTTGTTTTGTTGGGCTATCTCATTGAAACTTGGGCTAATGTATGATGAAAGATGTCTTCTTAACGTACAACAAAAATAAGACAGATGATAAATAAGGGAGTTCACTTCTCAGCCATTAGCCACCTCTTTGCAGTATATTTTCGTATGGTTTTTATGGTTGTATTCTCATTTTTTTTTTTGGACTCATTTGATAGAAATGTAAGTTAATATTACAGAAATACATGATTTTTGATGCTTTTTTCCATGACGAAAAGACTTTGAAATTGAGCTCAATGTACTGGAAATGTTTGTTTTTTAGTGTCAGTCAAGTTGGTTAATTTTATTATATGTAGTCTAACCTAACTACTCTGTAATCCTGCAAACTTGGTAATCCGGCACACTACAGGTCCCAATGATGCCGTATTTGTGATGGAGGACCTGTACTGAAAGAACGCAAAGAAAAAAAAATAATGAAGCACTTTCACTGAATGAAGACTGGGCAATGAGTACAATACGCACACATAGAGAATAAATGGTGACTCAAGTAAATAATACTTCAGGGGTAGGAGCAACATAAAAGAACAGATGTACAAACAAAAATGAAACGTGAAAGATTAATGATAACACTGGGAAAATAATGCAAAATAATGTCAAAAAACACTGAGTCTGCACTGAAAGGCCCAAGTCTTTGCCGTAACGCAGAAATCACGGTAAATGTCTCGCACACACAAACGCTAGTGACCAGACTTTATCACTAGTCCCCGAGCGGCGTATAAGTGGTGATGGAGGAATGTGTCCCAGTGTGCAGGCGACGTCCCGTCACGACAACACGTCCGCGCAGAAATGACGCTTTGTCATGAAGACTACAAACTTTGGGCTTTATAAAGGTGGCACACATGTGAAATACATCTCTTTGCTCAGTGTGTAAGTGGTATAAAAGAATGGTGAAGATACCCCAAGTAAGGTAAGGCTTAGAGGCGGATGAGTAGGCGGGTTGTGGAGGTGACTGCGAGAGCGGCATCTGTGTGTCTGATGCGCACTCGCACCCCTACCACCTTGAAATCGTGGTGGTTTTGCTATGCCACAGTGAATGGTGACATCACTGTCCAGTGGTTGAATTGGCAGCACAAGGTATATCAGGGACAATACTTCAAAAGAGGAACTTGGATGGCTTCTTTCTCATGGCTGGGTGTCTTGCTGGCTTAACCCTCGATAATGGCTGACTAAACTACATTGTAACAATGCACAATCATGAAGGAACATGCTGAAGACTGATGAGGCAGGCATGGATGAAAACTGGCACTCATCCCTAGAGCTGGCTTAACAGTCTGGCTTAATTGTAAAAACCGATGATCTCCCTTATATGCTAACATCAATTAGCACATAAACTAAGCCAGTAAGCTTAAGAGGCGGCTGCAACTGTCTTTGCAGCGGGCATCACTGGTGAAAGTGGACAGTGTAGTACGCGACTGCTTGGGGAACTCCGCTGCACTCAGTGACCCAGCTAGATCACTTATAACTGGCGTAAATACCTATATACAGTGGATCCCTGGTATACGATATTAATCCGTTCCTGAGAGCTCATCGTATGCCAAAATTATCGGAAGGCAAATTAATTTTCCCCATGAGAAATAATGGAAATCAAATTAATCCATGCAAGACGCCCAAAAGTATGAAAAAAACAAATTTTTACCACGTGAAATATTAATTTATTGCACACATGCTGAAGAAGACATGCACAGTTTGTAGTACTCTACTAACAATAGAATACATGACACTTACCTTTAATGAAGATCTGGTGATGATTGATGGGATGGGAGGAGGGGAGAGTGTTGTTGTTAATGTTTAGAAGGGGAATCCCCTCCCATTAGGACTTGAGGTAGCAAGTCCTTTTCTGGGGTTACTTCCCTACTTTTAATGCCACTAGGACCAGCTTGAGAGTCGCTGGACCTCTGTAACACAACAAATCTGTCAATAGAGCTCTGTACCTCCCGTTCCTTTAAGACTTTCCTAAAATGGGCCATAACATTGTCATTGTACAGGTTGCCAACACGGCTTGCAGTAGCTGTGTCGGGGATTTTCATCCGTAAAGGTTTGCAGTTCAACCCACTTTGCACACATTTCCTTAATCTCTTTTTTCAATTCCATACTAATTCTCGCCCTTTGTACCACAGGGATGGCACTAGAAGCTTTCTTGGGGTCCATGGTGACTTTTTTCAGTTACAAGCACTAAAAACACTGGGATAATGTGAAATGTACCGAATGTATGCATAGATGCGACCCCACTGGCTGACTTGTAAACACTGGTGGTGAGGCCACACGTGGGACGCGTCCCGGACGAATCACGTAAGGCGAGTTTTTTATCGTGAGGCGAGGCAAAGTTTTTGCGTTCAAATGCTTCGTATGGAGGACTTAACGTAACACGATGCGTTCGTAAGGCAGGGGTCCACTATATTGTATATTAGAGCTGACTTCCTCTATTCCATTTATTACAGTATACAGTACGCTACTGTATAAATTTTTAAAAAAATATGCCAGAAATGTTATAAATGGTGCAAAGGTGACATTAAAACAATATCAAAGATGGTTGACTCAAACCCCACTACTATTGTAGTATGCTCCTCACTTAACGACGAATTTGTTTACCAACGTGGTGTTAGGAACGAAACTCCATCGTTAAGTGAGGAGAAGGTGTACTACACAATGTGAATTTCTAAGATTAATCATTTAGTAACTTTATTAGATGTTCTTCATCCAGGCACAATCCTAATGGTTTAAATGCATGTATTGAAGACACTGTCTGGCTTTAAATAATTACATTGCTGATTTTATTTGAAAGAATATCATATTAAACTTAAATAGGCTTTTTTTTTTTTAATGTATAGCATACATATGACAGATTTTCAATAAAAATTGGTTTAACTATTTCAGGTCAAGCTGAGCTTCTGATGAAAGAGCGGTTCTCTCAGTTTGCTGGTTTGATTGATGATTGTGAATTTAAACGTGGGGAGAAAGAGGTAACCTGTCTCGATCTTCAAGGGTTTTGGGACATTATTTACTTCCAGGTAAAGTTTGTCAAGTCTTGCATGTCTATTTTCTGTTTTCATTATTACTATCTCTCGGGAAGCACTTTGTGGTTTTTGCATTACTGTAGTTTTTCTCCACTGCTTCATTTACAGGCAGTGTTGTATCTCAGGATTGCCATGTCAAGCTGACTTTAACTTCAAATGTCATATGTTAATTTATTAATTACATGAAAGCTTTATAACTTATTTTCCAGAAATTGTTGTGGTGTATATAGCTGGTAGACCTGCATGTGAGAGAATGGGTTTGCATGGTCAGTGTGCACAGTTTAAAAAAAATCGGAGAGGCCACAGTGCATTGTGGGAGTGCTAATTCAGTACTCCTTGGTCCCCATGCGTAGCGGTGAGGAATACATCGCTCCCCGGTAAATTGGGACTCTTCCCTTCCCAAGTGATAGTTCTGACACTGACTGAAGTGTAAGTGAAGATGAATCTCATGGTTCTGAGGAGTTTGTGACCAAAAGCAATGCTCAGGATACCAGAAACAGTGCTGAAAGCCCTGACTATTATCAACATTCTACCTCCCTTCCACCAAAAAAGTTTGACTTATTTTCATGTGAGTGGTGGGGAAGACAGTGTGGGTCATGGGAAAGGCAGTGTGGGTGGTGGGGAAGGCAGCGTGGGCCTGTGTAAACATAGCAACATGTAGATTACCTTGGATAATCAGTCAGTGGCTTGTTTCCATGTGGGTGGGGCAGAAGGCATGTGGGTTTGTATTAACATTTTGTCAATCATAGAACAACAAATGATTGATTGTCCCAGTTAGGGGTTGCATACACTGAATGGATATACATGTATTACATTATGCATTTTATTAATTTCACAGGCACAAAAGTTATTTGAAAAAAAAAAATTAGATAAAGGAAAAATTTAATAAAAATTTAAAAATATGACGAGTGAGTGGTAGTCGCCGATTTTTCCGAAAGGGCTCACTTTGTCAACCTCGTGCCTCTATATCTCAGTAAGTACTCTCGCAGTTTTTTTCTAACCTTTTCAGGGTGGACACGCCCTCTCAGAGACTTGTTTCAGGGTCGGCCAAATTTAAAAAAAAAAAAAAAAAAAAAAAAATTATGAAAGTTTGAGAATCTTTTCCCGATCATAATGACACCAAAATATGAAATTTGGTGGAAAACTTATGGAATTTGCTCTCACGAAGTTAGGGGGTCTCGACAGGGGTTTATGCATAAAGCGATTTTGCCCATTTTGAGCCCTTATTTTCGGCCAATTCAGTGCACTTGTAGACAAAAATCCTAACTATTTCGCTAGAACTCCAGTTTCTCTATCGAATGAGTACAAGAAAACCACCATTTACCGATTTCATCTACCCAATACAGTGGTCGAATTTAGCAATTTTTCCAATTTCACACGTTTCAGAAGATGCAATTTTGAATAGGGTCCGAATAAACAAGGAAGACATTCTGGACTAAAATAACATTTCCTCTGTTATTAGTCACGTCCCCAGGCCCTCTTACATTCTTTTGCTTTCCCACTTTGGATTTTTATTCTCACAAAAATAGAAGATTTACTGTTATGCGACTACTGCATTGGTGTAGAAATGGTATAAATAATGTCAGCGCACTTGTGAAAGAATATTAGATCGCCAGTTGAGTGTATTGGACGCATAGCATGATTTGTTTACTTTTGAATTTTGGTAAAAATTAAACATTTCTGCTACTTTTAGCACAATTTCAAGGTAGTTTTCTTTTTTAAAACAGTCAAATCATCCCCAATTTCTGTAATACGTCTTCCATTCTATAAAATAAGACCAGGAAAAACTAGAATACAAAACAAATATATGAAAATACAGTGCAAAGTCGCTGTTTTAATCCAAAAACAAGGTCAGTATTTTTTTCTCATTACGCGCTGTGTGCTGCGCGTAATGGGGACCACGCACACTGACCAATAGACCATTTTTCATTATGTAGGCCTACCAGTTTTTTCGTAGATTTGAGGGCACTAGAATTTAGGCGTACTAGTACGTCAAAAACCCTGGTGTGTAAGCCGTTTCTAGTTCGGCCGAAACCCCGAAAGGGTTAACAATTGGAAAAATTTCATAAGTTTTGGTGCAATTTTTTTTTTTTTTTTTAAAAATTTTTTTAACACTGAGAGTGAATTTGGGATCAGAGGTTTTGACAGTGAAAGGGTTAAAAAATTGTTTTGTTATAAAAGAAAAAAAATCTGCAATCAGTAGTTCAAGATATATGTGAAGTTGACGGAGTGAAAATGCTTACGGCAACATTGGCGACTGCTCCTCACTTGGTATATTTTTATTTTATTCTATTTGTCTCTTTTCTAGTTAATTTTTTCAAGTAATTTTTGTGGCTGTGAGTTTTCTAATTAATTCTTTCAAGTAATTTTTGTGGGCCTGTGAGACCAGTATAATGCATATTGTATGTATTTTTGTATACAACACAATAATACAAATGTTGTTTACAAAATGTTTTACACCAACCAACAATTAAAAAAAATTATTACTATTGTTCTGTAATATATACAGGTACCCTCCGACTTACGGGCCAAGCTTGGTTCCGACCAACGTTGTAAGTCAAATGGATGTTAAGTCGAACCTTTGAAAATTGCCCACATACCGGGTAGGGCATAATGTCAAACCTTTCCTATATAAATACCTACATAGTAATGTAATGTACAATCATTATTTCATTCTTTTTCCCATAATTGACTTCTGTTAAATTTTAATTATGTACTGTATATAATGTAAAACATGGTAGTGAACTGTATTGTAAATTTTACATCTCATACAGAAATCATATTTACCTTATCTTTGAAATTGTCGACAGTGGAAGGGGAGAATACCACTGGTAGTGTCCTGCCAAAATTTGTAGTATAACCTATACCCTAAGTAAAGAGAGAAACCTGGAACATGTGTAATACGTATCTGGCTGGCTGGCCGGGTGGGTGGTTGACTGGCTGAATGTGGCTTGCTCTCTGTAACTCTGTATCTCTCTGTATCTCTCTCTGTATCTCTGTATCTCTCTTTTCTCTATCTGTATCTCTCTGTATCTGTTCTCTCTCTGTATCTCTCTCTCTATCTCTCTATCTCTCTATCTCTCTCTGTATCTCCATCTCTCTCTGTATCTCTCCATCTCTCTCTGAAACTTTTCTCTCTCTGTATCTATCCCCCTCTGTATCTCCATCTCTCTCTGTATCTCTCTATCTCTCTCTGTATCTCCATCCTCTGTATCTCTCCATCTCTCTCTGAAATCTCTCAAATCTCTCTCTGTATCCCCATCTCCCTCTGTATCTCTCTATCTCTTCTGTATCTCTCCATCTCTCTGTATCTATCTCTGTATCTCCACTCTCTCTGTTTCTCTCTATCTCTCTCTGTACCCTCATCTCTCTGTATCTCTCCATCCTCTCTGTATCTCTCTATCTCTCTCTGTATCCCCATTCTTTTTGTATCTCTCCATCTCTCTCTGTATCTCTCCATCTCTCTCTGTATCCCCATCTCTCTCTGTATCTCTCCATCTCTCTCTGTATCTCTCCATCTCTCTCTGTATCTCTCCATCTCTCTCTGTATCTCTCCATCTCTCTCTGTATCTCTCCATCTCTCTCTTCCCCTGTATTTTCCCTGTATCACTCTTTCTCCTGTATCTCTCTCTGTATCACTCTCTCTGTATCTCTCTCTCTCTGTATCTCTCTCTCTGTATCTCTCTCTCTGTATCTCCTTTTGTATCTTTGATCTCTCTCTGTATCTCTCTCTCTCTGATCACCTGTATCACTCTCTCTCTTATCACTCTCTCTGTTCACTCTTGTATCATTCTGTATCTCTCTGTATCTCTCTCTGTATCTCTCCATCTCTCTGTATCTCTCCATCTCTCTCTGTATCTCTCCATCTCTCCCTGTATCTCTCTCTCTCTCTGTATCTCTCTCTGATCACGTCTTTTCTGTATCACTCTCTCTCTGTACACCTCTCTCTCTCTGTATCACTCTCTCTCTGTATCACTCTCTCTCTGTACACTCTCTCTCTGTATCACTCTCTCTAGCACTTGTATCTCTTCTCTCTGTATTCTCTCTGTATCTCTCTCTGTATCTCTCTCTGTATCTCTCTCTGTATCTCTCTCTCTGTATCTCTCTCTCTGTATCTTCTCTGTATCTCTCTCTGTATCTCTCTGTATCTCTCTGTATCTCTCTATCTCCTCTGTATCCTCTCTGTATCACTCTCTCTGTATCTCTATCTCTCTCTGTATCTCTCTCTCTGTTTTCACTCTCTGTATCTCTTCTGTATCACTTCTGTATCACTCTATAAACTCTGTATCTCTCTGTATCTTCTCTCTCTTTTATCTCTCTCTCTCTCTGTATATCTCTCTCTGTATATCTCTCTCTGTATATCTCTCTTCTGTATATCTCTCTCTGTATCTCTCTCTCTGTATCTCTCTGTATCTGGTATCTCTGTATCTCTCTCTCTCTGCATCTCTCTTTTCTCTGTATCTCTCTCTCTCTGTATCTATCTGTATCTCTCTCTGTATCTCTCTCTGTATCTCCATCTTCTGTATCTCCATCTCTCTGTATCTCCATCTCTCTCTGTAACTCCATCTCTCTGTATCTCCATTCTCTGTACCCTCCTTTCCTCTCTGTATCTCCATCTCTCTCTGTATCTCCTCTCTCTGTATCTCCATCTCTCTCTGTATCTCCATCTCTCTCTCTGTATCTCCATCTCTGTCTCTGTATCTCCATCTCTGTCTCTGTATCTCCATTCTCTCTTCTGTATCTCCATCTCTCTCTCTGTATCTCCTCTCTCTCTCTGTATCTCCATCTCTCTCTCTGTATCTCTTCTCTGCATCTCTCTCTCTCTCTGCATCTCTGCATATCTCTGCATCTCTCTCTTTCTGCATCTCTCTCTCTGCATCTCTCTGGGAGATAGCCAGATAGCGTAGATATTCTTGCCATTTTGCGGTTGTGAAGTCATCCCAGAGGAGGCTTGTAGGTTTGCAATGAAGTTCACAGGAGAGAGGGTGGGTGGT